GCAGTGAGAGGGAAAACTGCCTAGGACTGCTAGAGAGAAGGGACTTTGCTAGTCCAAAAGGGGGAACTCTGAGTGACCTAGCTAGAGGGCTAAGTCCTGAAGAGGATGCTGTGGTTCTTGGGGCTGAAGCCCAGAGGGAGAGAGAGTGTGCAAAACTGTGGATGGGGGCATCAGCCTTGAGAGTTAATCCCCAGGAGGAGGTGTCAGACCAGCAGTGAGTGGTGCACCCTGTGACTAACACCCATAAATGAAAAAATGAGGGAGTGCAGGCTTAGACGGTTTTGGTCATATAAAGTGCGGACCTGACAGCTTCATGGGTGAGAGGGTCTAACAGATCGAGATTGAAGGAAAAAGACAAAGAGGCCAGCCCAAGAAGAAGTGGTGGGCTGTCATTAAGGAAGTCATGTTAGCATGTGGTGTGATAGAGGATATGGCATTGAATAGAGTGCTCTGGAGGGAGAGAACTTGTAGAGCAGACCCTATCTGATTGGATTCACACCAAGAAGCAGAGTTATTCTGAGGTAAATGCAGGAAATGATACCCAGGAAACTGCCCTGTTGGCTTTCACATAACAGTAGGGAGTCTTCTTCCATAAGGATATTCTTGTAATGAGTATCAAGTGACAAGTGGCAATGCCTATAGGCTTCGTCCTGCAAACGCTATTGAGAATACTGCTTACTACCCAGAATAACCCTGTTGATTTGAGTTGGACCATTCAGGGCAGTAAGCCCTAAACTCAAGTCAGCTTTCAGCCTGTGCAGGATAGGGCCTTCTGTTTGCAACACCTACTGTTTTCTTCCTTCAGCATTCTGTGCCAAGTTTTGCATCTTGGCAGAGACAGTACCTAGAATCTGTAATGTACCTGGCACTATAGAAAATCCTAAGCCACTCTCCACATTAAGGAAATTCACGCTGCTCTAACTACATGGAGGAGACAACAGGGCGGGGGGGCAGCTTAGCTTTGGTCTAGCAGGAGATGCCCAGGGCTGGAATAGCCAGGTCCAAGGGGCATTGGTGGAGATGAATTGGGAAACTTGCAGGATGCTAGTTTGCACTGGAGATGTATGTGGATCTTGGGAAGTTCAGGCTGAAGCTGTTGTGGATTCAAGAAAATGCTCGTTTTACAGCTTCACAATAGATTCCGACCAATTTAAGATTTCTAAGAAACTGATTTTAGAATATACTTTATTTCAGGCAGTCCTGGAATTTATGCTGCCTACTGGCTTCCCAGTGAATAATAAACTGCAGATCATCAATTTGCTGAAGAGAACTCATTAGTAAAGCAGCACATATGCTAATGACTTACCTTTTGACTAAGGCACATACCAAGATTAATGTGGCTTATTACAATGATTCTCCAAGACCAAGAGCAGAACTTATCAGACTCTTTGCTAAAAATATTTCTAATGATAAAAAATCTAAGCCATTTAGGATGATTAGCCAGAAATTATCAGCACACAATTGTCCTTGATAGCTATTCTTTAATCATCATCAGATACGTTTCAGTCAGTATTATATTTTTTTCATGTTAATTAAGACAAATTGGTCTTAATGTAGAAATAGGTCTGAACCAAAATGGAAGCAGCTAACATATCTGAACTTCTGGGACAGTTCAAATTCGGATCTAGCACCTTTACAGAGGGTGGCCTGTGGTGCAACAGCGGAGGGTTTTAGTGGATATGGGAAGATGGTGAAAATAGTACTGATAGAGCTAAGTAGGTGAGTGGGTGGGGAACATAGGAGAAGTCCACTGCAGATGTCAGAATAAGGCAAGCATTGGGAAGAAGCCCCATTCTATTAAAAATCTATTTGCAGGATTTAGGCTTCAATCCTGCAAACATTTACACACATGCTTAACTTTAACTCCCATTGGGACTACTCATGGCAGTAAAGTTAATCCCCTGTGTGTTTGCAAGATCAGGGCCTTAATTATTTAGATCTAAGCCAGAGACACAACCTTCGATCCAAATGTGCTTTTTCCCCACGTGATAAATCAAAATCCAGGATTCTAACATTCTTGAACATTGTGGGGTTTGAAACCTAGATCGGAATTTTGATGTTTGGGCCATTCTCGAATATACTTCCTTAAAGGCTTACGCTTCTTAGGTCTACTACAGACATTTCAGTGGTATTGAGATACCAGCAATACCAACAGAGTGAACAGTATATGGTAACCCCAAAACATAAGTAGGAATAGGATGGATCAAAGCAGCCAAACCACATCTTGGATTTTCTCCCTTGAAAAGCAAAGCCGCCAAGTTGGAGTTGGTACAAAGGGGCAAGAATTTAATGCCAACTGCTTTGGAAATTAAAAAAAATAAGATGTGTACAGTACAAGGAACCAAAATGTTGGGCTAGCCTGATGCTCTAGTTGCTGTTGTCTCTACAGTGAGACAAGAAACCCATGTATGATGTATTGGTCCTGATTCTCTGGATCATTAGTAGTTGTTGGATGAACTATGGAGCTACCGCACCTCCCCTCCCTCCCACACACTTTTAGAAAATAAAGTGGAAGTTCTATTTATAAAGTTTTCCTCATCCTCCCAAAGAGAATTTGGAAATTGGGGGTAGCCGTTCTTTTGGCTGATTTCTATCCATACTTTGCCCTAATTCCTATCAATGAAAGTGTCCCTACCCACTAGAGTTAGAGTGGACGCTGCAAAGAGAAGATAGAATGGATTTGCCATAACCAGCTAATGCAGAGGATCGTGGTAACACAAAGGGTCTCCCGTTGATTAAACAAGCCCCAGAAGACTATTAATCCAAGAGGCAATTATCTCGCTTTCCATCTAAATAGCTGCCTCATCAACAAATCTGCTAGCCTCTTACAATAATATCAGGAACACAAAATAAAATTATTCAATGTTAAGCCATGTTCCAGTCTTCATGGTGGTCCTGTCTACTGAGCAGGCAATAGAGTAAAGGAACAATATGCAAATTCACCTTTCGATGTGCCCAAACAAAACCCACAGATCTGAACATCCCAAACTTTGGCAGCGGTTCGAAATCCAAACCTGGATCCAGATCTGAATTCCTTGGCTAGCCCATATTAAAGCCCCAAATCCAAAGTCCCTGAGTGTTGCGTGAGAGTTCAATACCTGGATCTGAATTCTGTGGTTTCTGCCCAAGCTGTAGTTTAAACACAGTCTCAGTTAATCTGACTTCTAACCTACGTTAGCCAGCAGGTGCGGAAGGGAGGAAACTATGTCAGCCTACTCTGGAATATGATCTGTAGCATGCTGATAACATAATTTGGATGTGCTAGGTAACAACACGATCTATCAACATGGTTCTAACTAGAGCTGTGCAAAGAATTCATTGAATGAAGTTAGCTTCTTTTTATTTGCAAATTGTCCATAAGCACGTCACAATTTTCTTAAATGTATTTATTTTAAACTATTCACCTAGTAATTTCTATGAATATTTCTTGGTCTGTAGATTACTCACAAGTATAGCAGGTCAGGAATTTTTCAACTAAGTGTTCTTTTCCATCAGAAAATGAATGATTTGTTGAAACAAAGGGTCCATTTTAATGAATTTCTCAACTGAAAAATAATGTTGAGAAGTTTCAAAATGTCCCATTTTGACACATTCAAAATGAAAAATTCTAATTCAAAACGAGTTGACATTTTAAAAATCTTAAGCCAATTATAATAAAAACAATAAAAATGTTGAAATTAAAATTATATGTTTCAAAAATATCAAGATAAAATTTTTGATTGACTCAAACCAAAAGTTCAGATTTTTGGTCCACATAAATGTTTGAGATTTTTGATCCCAATTCAGGATGGGAAAACTTTTCAGTATCTTGTGGGGAGGGTTCTATTGACAAGGACTTTGTTGTGAGTATTCAACAGGTTTAAAACAAACAAAAGAAAGTACTGCTTCACACAACGCACAGTCAACCTGTGGAACTCGTTGCCAGGAGAAGTTGTGAAGGCCAAAACTATAACTGGGTTAAAAAAAGACTTAGATAGTTCATGGATGATAGGTTCATCAATGGTGATTAGCCAAGATGGTCAGGGATGCAACCCCATGCCCTGGGTGTCTCTAAGCCTAGGTCTGCCAGATGGTAAAACTGGATGATGGGATGGCTCACTTGATAATTGCCCTGTTATTTCATTCCCTCTGAAGTATATAGCATTGGCCACTATTGGAAGACAGGATATAGGGTTAGATGGACCATTGGTCTGACCCAGCCTGGCTGTTCTTACGTTCAGTATCTCAAATGAGAGTTGTGGTGGGTAGTTTGGGTAGGGCACAGGTCACGTGATTATTTCTCTCAGATTTCTAGTGAAAATGCTCACAATTAATAATCTGAAATTCACTATGTTCTATAACGTTTGCTGTTTCCGCTATCAGGAAATTCACTTGCTGGAATACTCACAAGGAGAGAACACAAAAGGAGGGTGAATACAGGTGGAAACAATTTTAATTGTTATGAAAAGTGTGTGTTCCCAGAGGGTGGGATTTTCCAAAATGCCCACCTTAGCCCCACTCTGCTCCCATGGAAGTCAGTGGGAGTTTTACCATTGGCTTCCATAGGAGCAGAGTTAGGCTAAAGCTAAGTGAGTGCTTCTGAAAATCCCGCCCAGAATGTCTCTAACTGAGCACTCAATCTAAGGTGGTGTGACCCTAGTCAGATTGGCTCAGTTTATGGCTAGCTTAGTGGAGATTGGAACAGAACCAAAACCCAGATCAATCCCAAACATCCCCGAATTTAAGGGTGTTAGAAATTCAGATCTGAATATTGCAAACTGCTTCTACCTTTATAATAGCCTAAATCAAAACCCTGGTCCAAAGAACCCCAAACACTGACCAGTTTGCAATCTGGATTTGAATCTAGCAGTTTAAACTTCTCTCTGTTCAGCTTTTTTCCTGGATCTGAGTCAGGAGATAGTTGACTGCAATGTGACTGTTTAGACTCCATAAATTATGTAATACTTAATGTAAACTGGGAAGAAGCAAAGACCGAGTTAACCAAAGTTGCCATTCTTTACCTTGGGGTCATGTATTCCAGAAAGCTCCTCATAGATTTTCTCTCCTACCATGACAGCAGCCAGGTTCGCTGTGTACGTTGACAGACAAAACAAACAAAAAATGGCCCAGAGATTCATTAAAAACCGTCCAGTCCAGCATTTGGGGGGTTTGATGGCAGCTGTTCTGCCAAACAAGATTGCGTAACAGACATTCAGGGCAGAGGAGAAGGAGAAAACTTTATTCCTGTTTCTTCCCTTGGGGGTCATCCCAAAGGGGCTTTTCCACTCATACAGTGTGAGAAATATTGCTGTGATATGGAGGGCAACAAATATTCCCAGCCACATGGTCCAGTGGAGTGGCCACATAAAGGCTCCAATAGGAGCGGCGGTATCTCTGGTCCTCACTAAGATGCCCAAGCTGGTTGAAAAGAAAGGGCTGGTGAAATCGATCACTTGGCTACGGGCTGTATTGATGCTGAATGATGTCACTGCCATGTGGGCTGTCCCAGCCAGAAGGTCACCCACAAGACCTGTCCAGTGGCCATTTTTCCAAGCTCCGTACTTCCCATCGCCAACAATGTACAAGTCAAAATCAAAGTTCATATCCTCGGCCAACTTTTCCAGCAGATCGATGCAGTAGCCGTAGCAGCACTTTTTGAACTCAATGGGCACGGTGTCGTTGCGCCCATGAAGGGTTTCAAAGAGGCTATCCAACATGGCTGAATCGTTGGTCAGAGGATCCAAGCACAGTTGTCCTGCTGGGCACAGCCCTTCATCATCCACGTTTCTCGTGAAGACAAAAGGGTGTTCTATCAGTGTTACCACTCTCAGGTGCAGCCGGGGAGGGTGCAGGATGTGATTTTTGTGCCTCTGGGCCTGCTCTGGCCATATCCCACGATCAATGATGATCTTTCCTTCTTGCCAGCTCCCCAGTCGAGTCCACATTGGGTTCCCAACAGGATCATGCTGCAGATTCCAAATGAAGAAGTTGTTTTCTGAGCTGATGATGGACGAGCCTTTCACTTTAATGTGGCCACTGAGACCATTAAAGGTCGTGTTGGCTAAAAACCTGTTGGGAGAAGAAATGTAAGAAAACAAAGCCAGATATCCAGATGGCTGAAGCCTTATACTGCTTGAGAGGAACAATGAGCTTGTATTGAAAGCACTGTACTGGGACTCAGGTGATCTGGCTGTTTCCTGTTTCTGGCTGAATGACCTTGGGCTAATCATGTAATCCCCTAGTGCCTCACTTCCACCATCTGTAAAATGGGGATAAGGATGCTTCCTTTCTCCCAGCCTTTGTCTAGTTAGATTGTAAATTCTTCAGAAAGGGTCTGTCTCTTACTAGCTGGGCAGTTATGAATCCTTCTGGTTGAGAGACTGCTAGCTGAGTA